CGCAGGGAGGCGAGCGATCACAGTTCAGTTTGAGCTACCTTCGAGGCGACTTCGGAGTGAAAACTAGTGATCAAGAGCGATACCTCTACGACTTGGCTACAATCTAGGACATCGTTAGTGCTTAGTGATTGGACCTAGTTCCTTGTGTTGGACCTAGCGCTAGTAAATAAAGTCTTCAAAAGAGTCAGCAGGTCTTTCTCTCCAAATCCTTCGAACCCCTAACACGTAACAATACTAACACACTTTTATAATGTAGAATTTATTACGCGGATGTTTTTAGAATTTTATCGAAATCACAGTTTTTTCTATTTTGTTTTACTTCACGAACTGTCCGATTTATTTTTCATAAGTCAAGACACTTATTGTCACTATGTCTATGTTTATTTTTTTTTGTTAATGAGTTTCTATATGTATTAACTCCAACACTTTCCCTAAACATTTACATAGTACACAATCCTAGCGCCTGGCGTAGAACTGCATATGACGAATGAGGTAGTGCTTTGGTGAGGATGTCTGCAACTTGATCCTTTGTTCCGATCCTTACAACGTTGCAGATACCTTCAGTTACCAATTCTCTGATGTAGAAATGTCTGAGCCGGATATGCTTCGTTCTCTTGTGAAACTCGGGATTGTGAGCAAGACGAACAGCAGCTTCATTGTCCACATGCAGGACCGGTACGCCCGCAATTGTAGTCAATGCCTGGTATATTCTAGCAAGCCACATTAGTTCTCTGCCGGCTTCACTGGCTGCCACAATTTCGGCTTCTGTAGTGGAGATAGCGACCGATGTTTGTCGCTGGCTGATCCATGAAACTGTGCCTCCAGAATAGCGGCAGATAACTCCTGTCGTAGAACGTCCAGTTTCTGGATCACCTCCGTGGTCGGCGTCGCTAAATCCTTCTAGGATTCCAGGTTTGACACCAGCCTTATAGGAGATCCCATGCGAAATGGTACCTTTGATGTAGCCCAAGATACGTTTTACCTTGAGCCAATCTGTCTTTGCAGGTTTTTCCAACTTTCTTGAGAAAACTCCGATGGCATAAGCAATGTCAGGCCGAGTACCAACCATTAAGTATGCCAGAGCACCGACAGCTTCTCTATATGGGAAACAGGAATCTTCCGTTTCTTCTTTCCCTTCTTGAAGAGTCTCTCTCTCAATCGGTGTAGAAACGGGATTGCAGTCACTCATTTGAAAGCGGTCTAGTACCTTTTTCGCGTATGCCTCTTGGTTGATGAAGATGGTGCCATCCTTTCCTCGATGGATTTGAAGACCAAGATAATATGTCGCTGGTTTCGTCGTTATGCGCAGTTTCTTCTTCAAATCTTCTAAGAAGGCGTTAGCTGTGTCTTCATCAGTGGCAGCTACTAATCCGTCATCGACGTACAACGTGATCAGTAGTTTCTTTCCGTTTACTTCTCTTGAATATAAGCAGCTTCGGACTGTTTGAAGGTCATATCCAATAGGATCTCTTGAAAGCAAGAGTTCCAGCACCTTGGTGCTTGTTTAAGTCCGTACAGGCTACGGTTAAGCTTGGAAACGGTAGACGTAGCCGTTCCTTCCGTGAGGATGCACCCTTCTGGCGGTTGAACGAATATTTCTTCCTCGAGCTTTCCGTTCAGAAAGGCTGTGCAGATGTCGAATTGGACCAGGTGTAAGTTTTCCTGCGCACTAACACTGAGTAATGCTCGTACAGTAGCCAGGCGTGCCACAGGACTGAAGGTCTGGTCATAGTCTACTCCTTTCCTTTGTCTGTACCCTTTTACGACAAGTCGAGCCTTGTATTTGTCGATCGTGCCATCTGGATTTCGTTTGATCCGTAAAACCCATTTGCAGGGAAGTGCTTTTCTTCCTTTTGGCAGTGCACACAGCGTCCAAACGTTCTGGTGTTCGAAGGATTTCAATTCGCTATCCATTGCCCTTTGCCATTCTTCGCGATCGTCCCTTTTCATAGCGTCTGCGAAATTATTTGAGAATGTTTCAGTGATACAGACGTAATCTCTTAGTCTCTCAGGACGTCGAATCAGTGAGCGATCTCTAAGATTATAGCCGGGTGGCGGTGGTTCAGCGTCGTAAAATTCTTCTGGAACTGTGGTTTCTTCTTCATGGTCATGGTCTTCGTTGAGGACTTGATCCGATTCTTCTCCCTCGAGAACATGATCATGGTCGTTGGAGATTGGTTCGGGTGTATCTCCCTCGTGAACGTGAGTTTGCTCTGGAGCTGCAACTTCTCTTTCTAAGTTCGTGTTGGGCGTTATGGAAATCGGGTATTCTCTCGTCTCAACTTCTGTTTTAGGAATTTCACTATTACAGATCGGAAGAGGTTTCTCATCGAAGATTACGTCACGAGAGCGGACGATCGTCGAGTGTTTTCCATCTGTGACCCAGATACGGTAACAATCTTCATCGTACCCGATAAGTAGACCTTTTATCGCCTTTTCGTCTAGTTTTCTACGCTTCTGCTTTGGGATATGGACGTATGCGGTTGAGCCTATTATTCGGAGATGTTTAATAATAGGTTTCCTTCCATACCAAAGTTCATACGGAGATTTCTTATCTGAACTTGTGGGGCCTGTTCTGTTCAGAATGTATGCCGCGGTATTAATGAGCTCTGCCCAAAGCACTTGTGGTAATGGCTCATGAGCATACATCATCGATCTGCCTGTCTCAACTAGGGTTCTGTTATCCCTTTCGCTTACTCCGTTTTGTTCCGGTGTATACGGGGTGACGAGTGGCTGTATTATTTCATGAGTGTCTAAAACACTTTTTATGGACGCAATATCAAATTCGCCGCCGTTGTCACTCAAAAGGCATTTTATGGTGTGTCCGACAGTTTTAGTTTGAGCGATCATCAAAACTAACTTGTCTTTGACCTCGAACTTCTTGCGCATAAAGTACACCATACGGTAGCCAGTAAAGTCGTCTTTAAACAAAACGTAGTACTGATAGTTTGAGAAGCTAGGTTGAAACGGTCCACAAACGTCAGCGTGTACGATTTCTCCGGGCGCGGTAGCTCGGGTTCTTGTACCGAATTTAAGTCGATGCGCCTTTCCAAAGATGCAGCCTTCACAGGTCTCTTTATCCATCGGCAGGTTAAGACCTAGTTCCCGTTGGATCGTCGCTCTTACGTGTCTTTTATTTTGGTGAGCGAGTCTCTCGTGGTACAGTTGCATCATTGCTGTAGTTGCAAATACTTCGGGTGGTGTTTCTGGCAGTACGTGTTTTACTTCCAGTCGATATAAGCCACCTTGTTTTTGTCTCTTCCCTATTAAGCACACTTTTCCGTTGACAATGACGTTGCATTCAGTTGTCCTGGATGAAAAGGTGCTATTCGGGACTCGGTCGTGAAGTGCGAGTACGGAGAAGAGGTTCTTGCTTATGGCCGGAACGTACCAGACGTCTTGCAGGCTGATGTCGATTTGTTTCCCGTTAACATATCCTGAGCTGTACTGTTCCTTTGCCTTTGGCACGGACTTTATTACCAGCGGCCGTTGTAACAGTGTAGTTCTGATTGAAATGTTCGTAGGTTTGGAAAATGTCAGCTCTGTTGGTGACGTGGCTTGTTGCGCCATTATCAATGTACCAGCTCTCATTGTCCCGTGAAACTGTGAAGATTTCCGTTGTCTTCTAAAGACATGAGTAACAAGTTAGCGGTTTTTGAAGTAGAAGGCGTAGCTTTCTGGGTCGGATTTTGGCTCTTAGGAGGTCTACCGTCACGGATCCATTTTTGACAGTTGCGTACTCTATGGCCAATACCTAGGCAGTAGTTGCATTTAAGCTTCTTGTCCTTCTTCTCCGTATTCGAAACCAGGGCTTCCGATTGATGCGAAGGTGCGTTGTTACCTTGCAGGGCCCTTTCAAATGCGCAGAGATGACTGGTTAGGCTTTCTACGGTACGGTTGGATTTGGGCAGGAGGAGCCAACTACTTCTGAAGCTGAAGTATGAATCGTCAAGCGTGTCCAGTATTTTACAAACAAGTAGCAGTTCGGGTAGCTCTTGGTTACTGTCCTTCTTGAGTTCTTAATTCAGTTCAGTGTCATCAATGGCAATGTCATCTGCTTGATCCTTCTTAAAGCTGAAGAAACTCATACACAGGTTGTAGGTTTTATCCTCATTTGTTCCGTCGAACAGCCTGTGGAGCTCTAACCAGACATCACGTACTTTAGTGAACCGCATAACTTTTCGAAGTGTGTCTTCTTGCATATTGGTGGTAAGTATTAAGATGGCACTGGCATCAGCTTTATCAAACTTATCTTTCTGTTGTTGATAAGCCGCCAATTCAGCATCGCCGCATCCGTTAGGTGGACGAGTGGGTTCCTGGAACGATCCTTCAACTACTTCTAGGGCCGACGGTACGGTGCGTAGTAAGCATAAGGCTTTGTACTTCCAGGTGTCCCAGTTTTTTCCATCTAGGAGGCCGATCTGAAGCTTTCCTGTTATACCTTCCATTTTCGTAGTCTGGGCCCGTAACCTGATATGATTTAAAGATCTTACCAAAGTCTTTCTCGGTCTTACAGAGATCTTGAAATTGCAGAGCGCAGGCAGTTACGAAATAATATACTAACACACTTTTATAATGTAGAATTTATTACGCGGATGTTTTTAGAATTTTATCGAAATCACAGTTTTTTCTATTTTGTTTTACTTCACGAACTGTCCGATTTATTTTTCATAAGTCAAGACAGTTATTGTCACTATGTCTATGTTTATTTTTTTTTTGTTAATGAGTTTCTATATGTATTAACTCCAACAGTATTCACGTAACATCAGATGAACCGTTTGCTCGCTTGGCAACTTTTCACATAAAAAAAAACATCTCTGCCCTTCCCGTGGCTATGAATGCTCTAAATTATTCAAAATGTACGAGCTTAAAATTCCTAAATAAAGGATAAAATCTTTTGAGTAGTTTCAAGTGTAGTATTTGCTGGAGACTAAGAAACATTAAAAAATGTATGAATTTGTTTCATTACAGTTAGTGCTGCTCATATATTATATTTCCAGGCAGATATAGGATCGGATTCTGTCAAAGAGCCATCTGTCAAAAGTGAAAAGTCAAGAACGAAGAAAGGCAGAAGAAAAAAGCCAAAAGAAGACTTCAATGAGTCGGACGATGAGCCTTTGAAAGCAATGAAACGTGCAAAGCATTCTGAAGTGGAAGGGAGTAAATCTAAACGGAGAACAACAAAAAAGGAAGACACGGAATGTATGTAGTTGCAAATATTCTGAATACTCTATATATTTCTCTTAATTTGGTGATTTAAATAATGTCTAATCTTAATTGAACCTTTATATTATGGTAAAATTGGTTACCTAAGAGTTTTTTTTTAGTGCAGTCAAAATTTTTATCCTTTAAAAAATTAATTGAATTAAAATATAAAAAAAAAAATTCCATGGAAAACGCTAATTTTACTGGAGATTGACTCAAATCTAGTCAATATCCCAATTGTAATTTCAATTAGAAGAATGAATGCTTATGAATATTGTATGCAAGAGTAATCCATCCTTTTGGTTTAACTATTTTCACAATGAATACAATCATAATTATTATATCTATTTAGGAAAATTGCACGCTATAATATACTGTATATATTATAGCGTGCAATTTTCGCGTATATATATTATATGTATATACTACAAATTTATATCATTTTATTTTCAACTTAAAGCAAGTAAAAATATTTTTTTTCAGCGGTGAGGAAAGGCGGTCGGAGAATACGCGAGAAGCCCTCTGGAGTTGTCCACAACCCGAGGGTCGATAGGATCCTGCAGCACTTCAACCTGAACGGAGACCAGCTCGAGATGGTGGTGCTGAGCTGGGAGGAGGTGGGTTATGGCACAGGTGGCTAACGAGCTGGCAACTCAGTCGAATGAGACGCTCAAACAGTGTTCTCTGTTGCACGAATGGGCAGCTCCGTCCGGGGAAGTACCGCGACCTCACAGAACACCGGCGTGGAGTGGAAGTGTTACACTTCTGCGTTTCGTCTGGTGAGTGAGGTAGTCGGGGCCCACTTTATCTAAAGGCGGCAACGCATTTCTAACCCTATGGGTGTTGCAAATGGGTTGCAATGGTCCATGGGTGGGGGTCGTCACTTAACTCGCTTGTCACCTTCTCACATGAAAAAGAACTTTTCGAAGATATGTGAAGTCCAGTACTGGGTAATGGGGCGAGGTTCTTCCGTAGCTTGGTGGGCCAGAACATAGTAATTCACCGAAGAAGATTTCGGATGGTTAATAGAAAATATAGATGTGTGAATTTATCCCTACACGGTGTTGAATGTCGGTGCATAAACTATTCATATTAATAACGGGACGATGGCTGCTGATGGCTGCTGCTGAGCCGCTGTTATCCACGTGCCCCAAGAAACGACAATCAAAGTGCGTCATTTTGAATTGGGTGTTGGGTACCTAATGGCTAGGCTCGGAGAGTTCAACCTATCAGCCCTATAGAATGCATTCCATTATAAAAACAGAATCGAACGGGGCCGTTAATCCATAGGCCGTCCCGTTCCCCCCTAGGTGGAGGAAGAGAGACAGCGCGCGCTGGCGAGCGAGACCTTCACCAGGTACGAGTACCGCTGCCGGGATTGCGTCGTCGGCTTCAACCACCGCTTCAAGCTGGACAACCACATGAAGAAGCACGATCCGGTACGTTCTTCCTCCTTCCCATATTCTGGCAATAATGACATTCTTCATTCATTCATTCATTCATTCATTCCTTCCTGTCTTTCTTCCTCGTTCTCTTGTCTCTTTGAGGGGTAATTTACAGCTTTGGGCGCGACTTGGGCCAAAAGTATTGATTCAATGAATGAGCGAATGAATCGATGAATAATATTTGGTTTCAACATCTAGCACAGTTATGAACAACAATTGAAAGAATTAATTTAACTAAAGCATGAAACTAAATAGGTATGTACTCGGCACGGTTCACCAGTTTTCGGTACAAACCAAAAATGTACTGCGGTGACCGTACCCTGCCGTTACAGCGCCATCTATCATCTAAAGGATGCAACATATACTTTTGCTGCCTACCTGCAATTTTTATATTTTTTTTATTTCTAATCAGCTAAGTTTCTAAATTATTGACGACCCGAATGGTGTAGTGGGTAGTGTACCTGCCTCCTGCGCCAGAGGGTGTGGGTTCGATCCCCACTACTGGATAAATATTGTGTGATGAACATAGTATTTTTCTAGTGATTGGGTGTTTATACATGTATAATATGTATTTATTTACCAAAAAAAAAGGTATGTTTAAGTAAGTTTATCAGTTTTCTAGTACCCAAAGTACAAGCGTTGCTTAGTTTGGGACTAGAGAATGTTGTGTAAAAATGTGTCCCATAATATTTATTTATTTATTTCAAAATCCTACGTAATCCATATGATCAATTCTCTGAAGAATTAAAATGTACCTACCTCTGTAGGACTCCGGTCCGGAGGTTTGCGGCCTCTGCCACGTGAGGTGCAGAGACGCCCACGCCCTGTCGGCACATCGGAGGAGGCATCGCGTCAGGTGAGAGTCGGATTTGCGTTCCGTTATATTCAAATATTCGCTCTAGCTTTTATCGAACTGAGCAACGCTCGTATTATGGGTAGTAGAAAACTGGTAAACACACCGAAACATACTTTTCGTGTCTTGCCACCTTCTCCCATGAAACAGACGATATGGCGACTGGCCCGATACCGTCTGTACAGCGGAGGCCTTTGCCCAGCAATGGGACTCGTATAGGCCATAAATTGCTCTCTGCACGGGCAGGTGGTGGTGCGTGGCGTGCTCGACTGTGTAGTGGATAATGTCCTAATACCCGCTGTACGGAGGCCTTTGCCCAGCAGTGGGACGCGTGTAGGCTGTAGGTCGGTCTCCTCACGGGCAGGTGGCGGTGCGTGGCGTGCTCGGCTGTGTAGTGGATAATGTCCTAATACCCGCTGTACGGAGGCCTTTGCCCAGCAGTGGGACGCGTGTAGGCTGTAGGTCGGTCTCCTCACGGGCAGGTGGCGGTGCGTGGCGTGCTCGGCTGTGTAGTGGATAATGTCCTAATACCCGCTGTACGGAGGCCTTTGCCCAGCAGTGGGACGCGTGTAGGCTGTAGGTCGGTCTCCTCACGGGCAGGTGGCGGTGCGTGGCGTGCTCGGCTGTGTAGTGGATAATGTCCTAATACCCGCTGTACGGAGGCCTTTGCCCAGCAGTGGGACGCGTGTAGGCTGTAGGTCGGTCTCCTCACGGGCAGGTGGCGGTGCGTGGCGTGTGCGGCGGCGTGGTCGAGGGCGGCCGTGGCGGCGGACCACATCGCGCGCGAGCACGGCGCGCCCACGCCCCTGCACGTGTGCTCCGTCTGCGGACACCGGGCGCTGTGAGTGCACGGGATGCCCCCCTACTACACACGACACGGCACATTGTGGCGAATCCCCCCTCACTACACACGATGCAGTGGCACTTTTGTCTGGAACAAAGAAGAACCCCCTACCCCCTCACTATATACGGCATTGTGGGGATTCCCCCCTAGCTTCACACGACACGGCACATTGTGGCGAATCCCCCCTCACTACACACGATGCAGTGGCACTTTTGTCTGGAACAAAAAAGAACCCCCCTACAACCCTCACTATATACGGCTTCACACGACATAGGACATTGTGGCGAAGACCCCCCTCACTACATACTATATAGTGTCGTTTTTATCCCGCGCCTCTCGACAAAGGAAAACTCTGCCCCCCTCACTACACAGGACGTTGGGGAATGCCCCCTCACTACACACGACATACGACATTGTGGCAAATCCCCTCCACACTACATACGATATGGTGACGGGTTTATCTCAAACTGTCTCGAAAAAGAAGAACCCCCTACCCCTTCACTATATACGGCATTGTGGGGATTCGCCCCTAGCTTCACACGACATGGCACATTGTGAGGAATACCCCCTCACTACATACTATATAGTGTCGATTTTATCTTAAACCGTCTCGAAAAATGGTAATCTCCACCGCCTCACTACATACGTCATAGCACATTGTGACGAATCCCCCCTCGCTACATAAAACACTGTGCCAGTTTAGTCTCGTGTTGGTGACATTTTGTTACGTGCTGGTTGGATTAACTACTAAAGCCACCACCTACTACTACACCTGACTCCCTCACTAAAAAAGAACAATAGTGAAATATTTAAACTTGCCTTTCCTACGCTAAGAAAGACGCCCTTTTTTATTTGTAAAAATTCCTTTATGAATCCCCTAGATTGGGGCAGCAGGGAGGTAATTGAGATTCCCGGAAATGGGGAAACACCTAAAAATCTCGGCGCCCACACACCTCCCAATGTCTGGCCCTTGGGGAGATTCCAAATAGTCGGAGTATTCACAATAATTCGGGTGATCTCTCCCATAAAGAAACAAACCAACAACCTATAAATCCTTACTTATAATATTATAAACGCAAAAGTTTGTATATGTGGTGGTATATATGGTTTAACGGTGGTAGGGCCACGCAACAGCCTCGGCTGTTGCACGAATGGTCAGGCTCGTCCGGGTAAGTACCACGACCTCAGAAGACCGGCGTAAAGTGTAAGTATAATACTTTCGCGTTTCGTCTGGTGAGTGAGGTGGCCGGAGCCCAATTTCCAAAAGGTTGTCAACGCATCTGCAAACCCACGGGTGTAGCAGATGTCCATGGGCAGCGGTATTCCGTTCTGGGATGGAGTGTGAGGCATCATTCCCCGCAGCACCCTGGGCAAACTGCGCCACCACATCAAGAGCCACGCGGAGCGTCAGAAATGCGACCAGTGCGACAAATCCTTCCGGGATCGAGCCTCGCTGCGGACCCACCTCTTGTGAGTTCCCCTCCGTTCTCTAGGTTTTTTAGGGCACCGAACCCAACGGGACCCCATTGCTAAGATTTTTACAGATGGCAACATATCCTCAATCACATTCGCCCATTACAGTTCTCACTAAAGAATGTAGACGGCGCTTTCGTAATTTTGCTCTACTTTTGAACGTTTGTATGCTATTATATTATATCAATATAAAACGATCTTTCTTTTGCCAGGGTCAGTTTTTGAAACGATGTTTTGATTTTACTATTCAACTTGGTTTTCTTTTTGCCAAAGTAGTATAACTTCTTACGTGCGTACATAAGTACACACAAACATTTTTTTGGTTATATATATGTGTATAGACCTTTACTCATCCATCACACCAGCATCCACAAGGGGGAGAAAGAGTACGGTTGTCCGCGGTGCGAGAAACGCTTCATGTTCAAGAAGGCGATGCAGATACACCTCGTCACGCACGAGGAGTCGGCGCAGGTCTACTGCTACGAGGTGAGCGGGGGTACAACTGCGTGGGAGGGTGAACGGGGGTACAGCTTACGAACATATTAATTTCCCCGTAAAATTTCGACGTTTCATAAGAACGCGCAAGCGTCTACGTGAATAAAGATGTTTTATTACTATTAACTGGAACGGCTGTCCAGGACGGTTTTTTTTATGCTTTTACCCGTGCGTTAATAGATTGATGATTCTATCACTCAAGTTTCTATCACGCATCCAAGGGTGTTTCTTTATCGTTTGTTTATCTATTGCTGTGGTAGGGCCATGCAGCAGCCTCGGCTGGTGCACGAATGGGCAGGCTCGCCCGGGTAAGTAGCACGACCATGGGCAGTGATATTCACTTAACATCAAGTGAACCGCCTGCTCGCTTTTTTCACAAAAAAATGATGTGGGAAGTCCGAAGGCACGCTGTGAAGTTCAGACACAATTATCTGTTGATCACCCAAACACTTGTCCCGTGGGAATCGAATGCACAACCTCCAACGAGAAAGCCTATTGTACTTGTACTTCCTTATCTAACTACCTGGACAAGTAGCGCCATTCTTAAAGACGGCCAATTATCTTTTGTCACGTTTGTTCATTTCGTATTGTAATATTTCTTTTATTATTTTTGTTGACGATTCTAGTGCGACATGAATTTCAAGAATCAGATGTCGTACAACCAGCACAGGAAGTACAGTCTGAAGCATGTCGATCCGGCGAAACTCAAGTGCGTACACTCTTTTACATATTCTTTTTTTTTTTTTATTTCCTAAGTTCGCCAACAATGGACATATAAAGCATGCAAATTCATGATAAAAGTAAAAAATAATCGTAAATGTTCCAACAATTGCAGGTGACATTAGCTTATAAAGAAATATGGATAAGTAAAAATGTCGCCGCGACAAAGCCTCATTGATTCCAGTATGTGTTTTGGATACATCTCCATAGCAATTTTTATTAGTGCTCCCTCCGTTAAGTTACCGGCTTTAGTGTCTATGAACATATTTGATCAGGCGATGACATATTTCAGACTTGAAAGAGACCCGACTAGAATGCAAAAATATTTTGATTTCTACTTTCCCTTGAAATGGAAAAATTTTCCAGTTCTTACACATTCAACACTTCCTGAATCTTCAAAAATCTCCCCTATTAGTCGTTGTTATTCATTCCATTCTACTATAGATAAGATAATATAAGCGGAAGACGTAGCATTGGAAGGCCTCCCTTTAGGTGAGCCGACCACATCGTTAGAGACCTGGGCAACCGGTGGATGCAAATGGCAAAGTGTCGTCCGTTGTGGCGTTCTAAGGGGGAGGCCTATGTACAACAGGCAACGTCTTGCGGCTGATGATGATGATGATGAGATAATAGTAGACGGATTGCAGGTACGCGTGCCATCTTTGCGACAAGAAATTTCTTAAAGCAAAGCGGCTGGAAGAACACAACCTTGCGGTACACCTGAAGGCGACGCCCATCCAGTGCACGGTGCCGGGTTGTAATTTCGTGAGTCCCGTTCAGAGAGTACTCGCACACAGAACAGTGTCTATTTTAAGACATTCCGATGATTTATCAACACAGACTTTAGATTTGAGATCCCGAGTTTTCAAACGCTTCACAGCACTAGTGATCTCGAGACGGATTTAAGTGTTAGATGTTTGATGTGGTTTCCTTCATAGCTGGGTACGTGATAATTCGGCATATAAAATTGACAATTTCATTGGTGCCGGCACCGGGGATCGAACTCAGGTCGCTAGAGTGTGTTGAATTAAAAGCGAGCGCAAGACACTGAGCTATCAGGGCTCTGTATACTATACAAAACTTCATGTAACACCTTACCCGTGAAAAATATGTCTCCACGAGTCGTATGGACCCTAATCTCTCGCCTGGAGTTATTAAGGTCCGTCGACGACTGGCGACTGTGTTGTAACGCACTAACATACTCCATTTTGGATTAAAATATATCGGTAGAGTCAAAAACGGGCAGAAACGCGTCGCACCCCAGCGCTGCTACTGTGGTAGGGCCACGCAACAGTCCTCTCTGTTGCACGGATGGGCAGGCCCGTCCGGGTAATCATCACCTCACAGAAGACCAGCGCGAAATGTTACACAACTGCGTTCCGTCTGATGAGTGAGGTAGCCGGAGCCGAATTTACCGAAAGTCACGCATTTGCGACCCTACGGGCGTTGCGAATGTCCACGGGCTGCTATCACTTGACATCAGGTGATCCGCCAACTCGCTTGCAACAAAGTAACGTTGCAGGCGTGTGCGTCGCGGCCCGTGCTGCGCACGCACACACGCGTGCGCCACCGCCTCGTGCGCGCCAAGCGGGACCACGTGTGCGACGTCTGTGGCAAGGCATACACGGTACGTGACACCCACTCGTTTTTTATTGACAAAAAAATATATATCTATATATACCCGCAAATATTTTTTCATATTTTTGTCGAACTGAATGTGTGCTTTTATGGACGTCTTCGAGGCGACAGAGAAATTTTTTAACAGCTTCCACTGTCCACGACAACGACAAAGCTGACCGCTTTGTCGTTGTAAAAGCCACTTTAGGTGGTAAAAACCCCTTGGTGTTTGTCGCATTGAATGCTATTAATGGACGTCTTCGAGGCGACGGGGAAGGAACTAGGCTTCCACCAACGGCAAAGTGGTGACACCTGTAGTAAAGATTAGACATTAAGTAAGTTTTCGCCGGGCTTCCACCGACGGCAAAGTGGTAAAAGCCGCTCGTGGGCAGAGCGGCGCCGGCCTGCGCGGCCATCTGCGGGCGCACAGCGGCGAGAGGGCGCTGCGGTGCGCGCGCTGCCCCGCCGCCTTCGTGTACGAGGCGGCGCTCTACAACCACAACCGGCTGGTGCACCTCAAGCCCAAGGTGGGTGCACTGCTCCCCTCTCACCCCTCCCATCTGTGACCCTACGGGTGATGTAAATGTTCATCGGTGGCGGTTATCACTTAACATCAAGTGAATCGCCAACTGGGAGCGATTCCGGAAGACGTGGGTTCGGATCCCGCGGCGGCGAAAAATAAAAAATTCGTCCATTTTTTTCACAGATTTTAATATTTCATCTTAAATGCACTAAAAATATTAGTATAGAATATTATAATAGAAAATTTTAATCAGAAACATAAATAATGGGGGATTTATAATGAAAAACCTATCTCATTTGTTAATTGCTCAATTTCTCGTACATTGCAGAGCAGCATGAGATCTACCTCGTACCTACCATTAAGGCATTATTAATGGCCTCATTCAACTCTTCGCAAGAAGAATAAATAAAAAAACTAATAGCATTGTCTTGTCCTCACCGCAGACTGGACGCGGCCGCACCATACCCAATGACGCATCTGTGGCTGCCCCACTAGACACCGCGGGCCCACTGTCAACCGTCAACAACGCCCTCATCTGGATCTCGAACCCACTTTCCGCGCCACCCGGGGAAATAACCACGCAACAATCCGCCGACGCCCCTACGTAACTAAGTACAATGAAATATACGTGTGATATTTACGTTTAACATTTGTTTTATTTCCACTAACGCCATAATTCCATTAAAGTACGAAATATGTTTTGGAGTCTCACTTCTTTTGGCCCGTTTTGAAAAATTGAGAGTAAAATGTTTAACCAAAATTGACAATTTTTTTTGTTCAAACGCCGCTTTTAATTACTGTATATTCGAAGACCACAGTTTAATTCCCTGTAGTGGCATCAATGAAATTTACATTCTTACAGCGATTGCCAATTCTTACGTTTAAATTCAATTGGACCATGATTGACGTACCTTTCACCTAACTTGTTTTGCTCTATGGATAAATCCCAAGCCGTTAAACAATAATAAAAATAATCATTTTTTTGACATTTGGCAATAATAAACATGATTGTGACAACATAACCTAAGAATTTTAGCTTAATTATTTAAAAATGAAACTAATAAACCTGTTTAAATCTCTCAGGATTAGTTACACTCAGTTAACGCGCAACTACTGTGATAATTATACGCCGAAAGCGTTGCGCAGTTTAAAGGCTAAGTCCACCAGGAGCCATGTACAGTATTATGTGGATTCCTGTAGAATCAGAGCGGTCGGTGGCAATGGTGGTGACGGTTGCATATCGTTCTTGAGCGTCTGGTGCAAGGATCAAGCGGGCCCCGACGGAGGGGACGGTGGCCATGGCGGCCACGTCATATTTCAGGTAATGTTGTAAATGATATCGGGTAAACATTTACAACCTTACGTTTTAATAAAGTGATCGCTCTCGGAGCGAAGTCCACTTGTTAGGAGGCTAGAGACCCAGTTGTTTTTCTTCCCCTTCATTCCCCAGTTCCTCCCTTCACTTTTCCCCAGTTGTTCCTAGGTAAGTGACTTTTCTGAACCAGTAGTAGTATTTTGACAATCATTAAGAAAGTGTAATGCTTTTATGTTGAATATAGATATTTAAATATGCAATTGCAAATATTTTATCATCAATAGTGGAATGTCACTATTCGAAGGATTCTTAAGTGGAAATTGATAAAAAAAAGGCTAGATTCCGAGAAAAAAAATTGGTTAAACCCTTAAATTTCATTCTAAATCTGATATTACTTTCAGAATATTCATTATAAGCACATATAGTTTGAAATTTACGTTTCTACTTAGTTGGAGCACACTTGATACACAGAGACATCACAGTGCCAATACAGAAAAAAATTATCAATCACTGCTCCAATTGGGCCATCAATACTGTTATTAAGACCTTATCTATTTTTTATACTGTGGTAGGGCCAAGCAACAGTGTTAACGCACAGCGCAACCACAACCTCACAGAAGACCGGTGTGAAGTAGAAGTTTTACACTTCTCTGTTTCATCTGGTGAGTGAGGTAGCCAGGATCCACTTTATTGAAAGGTTACAATGCATTTACAACCCTATGGGTGTTGGTTATCACTTAACATCAGGTGACACATCACATAAGAAAATTGTAGTCAAAGATGCAGTTTGTGTATTTACCTGAACTCTGAAGAAAACAAACTCTAAAATAGGAGTACTTACAAGTTGCATATTAACTGTTTTGCATGTAAATTTAGATTGGAGCACACAGCGGCAACATTTAACATTTTTATTAACTAAAACTTGAAATTATAAACACCAAAACTTGTTCCTCTTATCAGTGTGGCCATAAATAAAATGCAGTGTATAGTACAAAGTCCCATGAATATGTACAAATAACTGTCAGATTTGTGTACCTATCTATCTTTTAGGAAAGGATACCATTTAGGGTGGGTGCACCAGTGCCACACCAGGAACCAGTAGTACACCATTTCTAACTTCACATCAAAATATTAACATTCTGTCGAATTTCCCGCCACTTTTTTTACGTTCGGTAGCATTGCCGTACTTCTATCAATCTTTTAATAATAAATAAGAGCGATAAACACGCTATATACATCAGTAAAATCACATGATTCGAAACAAAAATCGTTCGCTTCTTAACGGGCGGCCATATTAGTAAGCTACACGACGACGGTAAGTTTTTGGAAACTTTTAAATCTTTGTTTATATTAATGGCTGTAACTTAATTTCCAATGAACTGCGTAATACGATGTGTAAAGCAATAAAATTACGCCTTACTTCATCAGAAAATGCTATTTTAAATCAATCGTTGTCATTGGTAAACAAATGGAACACAAATTCAATGATTTTCCAGTAATATTCCAATTGGTCTACAATTGGTGATTTAGCTTTTTGATCATTTGTTTACTTTTTCTTCTACATTTATATTTACTTAATACACTGCAAACAATTTATGTAAAAAACTCTCAAAATATCCGCAATGTCCCTGTTGTAGACCAGTGGTTTATTACTGGTAAAATCTATACTACGAGTTTGTACCAGTAATTGACCACCTAGTAAGACACAATGTGGCCGAAAAAAACGTTTTCATTTATAAGGAGGAAGATATATTAAAAGCTATAGACGAGATAAGCAAGGGCGTAAAAATTAGAGAAACATGCAGAAAATATAATATTCCACACACTACCGTCATAATAAAATAAAACTGAAGTATCATATTCAAAGAAAAATGGGACTTTCCACTATATTGGCCAAGTAGGAAGAATCATGAAGATGGCAAAAAGGATTTCCAGTCAATAAAGAAATGTTTTTTTTGTTTAATGTTTTCTTTAGGATAACATTATCCTGTGTTGTAAGGACGTTTTACAAACATAAATTTCACGTGGATGAACACCCAGATGCAAAACAACTATCTGTGGGTCATACAAATAGTTGTCCCGTGTGGGAATCGAACCCACGACCCCCGACGCCGAAACCAATAGCTTGGCAACTGCGCCACGGAGTCCTCAAATGGTAGTAATTATGAAACACAATTAACCAATAATCCCTGCATTACCATCAGCAATTGTGTGGCCCTCTAAATCTCCAATTAAAGGCAACCAGAAAAGCAAGCAGAAATAGCAGCAAATGGATGCAATATTGGAATGAGAAAGAAAAAAATCGAGGAAGAACAGGAAAAAAGGGTCTTGATATTTTTTTTTTTTTTTTTTATGGAGAAAAGGGGCAAACGAGCAGGAGGCTCACCTGATGATAATTATACCGCCGCCCCTGGACACCTGCAACACCCGAGGGCTGACAAATGCGTTGCCGGCCTTTTAAGAAAGAGTACGCTCTCTTTTTGAAGGTTCCCAGGTCGTAACGGTTCGGAAAGACCGCCGGCGGCAGTTGGTTCCACAGTAGTTGTGCGAGGCAAGAAATGCCTTAAAAATCGCGCTGTTGTGGAACGTTGGACATCGAGGTGGTGTGGATGAAATTTTTGGTTCTGGCGCGATGTCCAATGGCGGAATTCAGCCGCCGGGATAATTATCTGAAATGAATCTTTTTAATAAACTAGTTATTAAAATAGTTATGAGCCTTGTACCATTTAAGTATTACTTGAAACTTGTAGACTGATGGTAAGCTGTGATGATTGTAAGTACAAAACTTATTAGTATAATTAATAATAATTTTCTGCATTAAAAGCAATTGTTTCATTTACTGGTTCACTATTGGCACAATGTCTGGTATGTAGCTGGTACAATCTGGACAACCTTAGGCACATTGCGACTTTCCACATTCAATTTTAAATTAAAAAAAAATCTAACAGCTGTTAAGAAAATCTGAATATACAACACGGTTCTATGATAGACTAGAAAGTACATTATTCTTTTTCTGCAATGTTTGTTGTAATAATTAAGACACAACGTCAAAATTACTTTCAAAATGTCTCTTAATCGGTTTTTTACTGGTACACCCACCCTACTTTACAGTTGACCTGATGGTCAGTGATGATCCATGGCCATTTGCACCATTAGTGCTTTCGGCATTAGGCTTTGAGGTATGAATAGACTTTATTCTTGAAGGTCCCTAAGTTGTTTGTAAGTGGTCCGGAAATATTGCTGGTGACAACTGATTCGCCAAATTGGGTTTTTGGGACAGAAATTTCATTTAAACATCAAAGATTGCTAACCAACACAGAGGTGGTCTTGACGGTACTTGGCTCTTTGCCCTATTGTAGTATACAAATATAGTTAGGGCTATATAACATTACATAATCATATAGTTTTCATATTAAACATTTATTATTTTACCCGCCATATATTTAATTTATTTAGGTTAGTTTACACTAAAACATATTTTGCATAAACATTGAAAAACATTTTTATAACGATTGCTTATCAGGCGTAAATTGTTTTACTTTCGGCCTATCCAGGCGGCGCACACAGTGAAAAGTTTGAACCACTGCAAGGCTGTGGTGCAGGCGGGGCACGGAGGCCGCGGTGACAATAAAGACTGCTGCGGGAAGAATGCACGCCACAACATAATCCCTGTACCACTCGGTATCTATAAATGTCATACAATAGCATATCTACATAATTTGGATGACTCCGTGGCGCAGTTGCCAAGGTATTGGGTCGTGGGTTCGATGCCCACACGGGACAACTGTTTGTGTGGCCCACTGTGTGAAATTTATGTTTGTAAAACGTCCTTACACCACAGGATAATGTTATCCTAGGGCAGTGATTCTCAACCACTGTGCCGCGGCACTTTTGTTTGCCGCCAAATTTTGCAAATATAATAATGTTAATATTATTAAATTATATCATTTAAAAAGAAAAATATTTTTTGGCATTAGCCAACATTAAAACTAAAAAAAGATCAAGATTGTTAAATGTTGAAGACGATATGAGAGTAGCATTGTCATTTTTACGACCAAATATAAATGAAATTATCAAAAAGCATATTTTTATTATTAGCTTGTAATTAATCCCTTAATAAACGTTTAGTTATTATTGTAATATATATTAGTTTATTTCGTATATTTAAAATTTTTATCATAAACTATTTATGCAGTGTGTTGTGGTAAGTAAATAATTTTTATCTTTTTCTTTGTGTGCCGCCAAATTTTGAAATCGTTTAATATGTGCCGCAACGAAAAAAAGGTTGAGAATCACTGTCCTAGGGTAAGTAAGGTAAGGACAATGTTTTATTAATAAATTAGAAATTAAATTTTATACAGTCTAGAATGACAGTTGTAACTATATGCCAATATAA